AGTTGCTGCCCAATGAATTGTTTGAAATGGCAGAAGAGTTTAAGCACAAAAAGTGCCTTGGTATCTTCCCCAGTGGAATATCGAATCAACTCAAAACCTTTCTCACTTCGATAGCAGATGCCATTGTAATTTGTCCAAGTAAAACCAAAGAGTACGAAGACGTTCTATTTGGTGTTGTTTGTAATGGGTGCAACATAGAAAAAACTCCACTGTTTACAGAACACCGGTTGACCAATCTAACCAACAACATACACACCAAAGTAACAAAAAATTTAGTAGACAGTCTGGATTCGATCGTAAGGTTGTTGGAACACGAAGAACGTGTATTTGAGTCAATCGAAAAAGAAGAAGAGGACGACATGACCAAGATCATCAAAGAAACCTGTTTGTCTGGACCAGGTTATGGCGATTTGTTGATTAAAAAGGAAAGAGCATCTTGGGGGTCTACAATTTCAAACAAGTTGATAACCATTCTTAAGTCGGTCAACAAGGCACTTGACCCAGTTACAATAATCAATTCTTTTGAGAGAGCGGGAATTGTATCGCGTTTAGGAGAAGATGGTCAGTATTACGCATACATAGATCTGAAAGAATCCAAAAGAATGGTCGAGGAAATCCCGACAATTAAAACCCTAGATGGATACGAAAGTTTGATTGTTGTACCAGAAGACTCAAAATTGAGAAACAAGGTCAAAGTGGTGCCACCAAAACACCTTAGAAGAGCTCAACAACTAAAGATTGATGTCGATAAAGCAATATGTCATGAACAACACGTCATTTGTAGTAATAATGTTGTTTTGACACAACAAGTTTTTATGGATACATCTTTGACAATCCCCGATACCACAAATTTTGTTGGAGAAAATGTGTCATTACCAATGGAAACTGAAGTATTTTTAGAAATAGATACATCAGACAATCCAAGTGAAAGTAAACCAATTGATAAATATGCTATCCAACCTATTTATCAAGAAAGTGATGACAATTCACTTATGAAAAACAACTTGCCTACATCTTCTTTTCAATGTGATCAAACCATGTCGAATATTGAACCTCAAAAGTCCAAACCGGTATCTAAAACACCACCATTACACCAGACGCAGATGCCCTCGTTAATTCATAAAGGCAAATCAATTGTTTCGTCTCCTAATAGCCATTCAGAGACTTTTTTGAATTCCAGACTCAAAGAAAGAACTCATAGCAAAGGAAAAATCATAAACCTTTTAAGTGATAAATTACCCGATTTTTTATTTTTAACAAGGAGAGATCCGTTAAGACCTCGATCCATGTTAAGATGTTTTTTAGTTACAATTTCATCTTTTAAATTGACTAATTTACTTGTTTAATCTGACTATTTTAAATTGGAAGTTCTTTTTGATTTTTACAAATCTTTTAATTTTATTGGTCATATTTTTATTTTTTTACCTGAAACCAAACTAATTTTTGTTATTTATTTTTGTTATTGTTTATTCTTGCATTGGGTTTTTTACTGTGCATTGAGTTTATTCTTTTTATTGTAATATAATGTTGTTGTATATGAAAATAGAAATAATTATAAAAAACAGTAACATATTTGGCAAAAACAAGAAGAATTAAAAAAAATCGAATAATCAGAGATTGATTGCAATTGAATTTAGAGTTTGATTGAGTTGTAAGTTGTCTCATGAATACCTGATGCTTCCACATTAAGGAATGATGACTGGAATGGTGTTTCTGGGCGTGTGAATCTTTCGTGCCAATTGTGATGACTTGATTATCTGGAAGTTAATGTAATTTCTCGAGTTCTGATTATGTATGGAGCATTCTGCATTTTTGTTGAAGTCAATATTGATGTAACAAACATTAATCTATGTTTAAAGTTCACAAAATAATTAAAACACGTTTTTTATTTTTATTAACAAAAATGGAAACATGGTTAGGATTTTTTTTTAAAAAACTGATTTGTGGCTATCTGTCTATTTGATTTCTTTTAAAGAATCAGGAAATGAACAAAATAATCATGACCGTGATGGAAAACAAGTCTTTTGTTTTTAATTTATAACTATAAATGGAATACAATTACATGTACTTTCAGGAAATAAAGATAAAAACGCAAGAAAAAATAAGATAATTTGTAACAATTTGTTTTTGATTATTATTTTGGTTTGCATTTTTTAATTTATGAAGTGTGATGTCGATATCAGAAAGGACTTGTACAAAAACATCGTTTTGTCTGGTGGAAATCAATTTAAAAATCAACGACAGACAAGAGAAGGAGAAAATTGCGAATGAGAAACGAATAAGTATAATCAAGGCTGTTTATGCTTGGCTTAATTTAATTATATTTGTGCAGGTGTTCATTTGGTTTACTTTAAATTATAATTGTTATAATCAATCATAAAATTTTTAATAATTTATTATCAATTATATTATTCAGAGGTTGATTATTATAGTTTATTTGTAATCAAATTTTCTATAAAAATTATTATTCTTTTGTCACGCATTGTATAATGTATCCAAAACTGCTATTTTTCTCGACTTAAATTGATGTTTTATAGCGTTGTTTTACCATATGAGATAATTAATTTAATGTTATTGTTGTGTTAATACAATAACAAACAAAAATGATAATAAACAAGGGGTTTTTATCGTAATATTTTGTTGTTATTTTGGTTCTCCAAGTATTTTTAGTTTGAGTAGAATCCATTTTTATTTCAACAATTGTATTTTTGTTATGTTTTTATTTAATTTTGGTTTGAACCAATCTTATTGGTTATATCAAACCCACAATTGTACACACATTTTAAGTGTTTTTTGTTTTTTTTGGCGACTTGAATATCTGATAATATTAATTAATAGATTTTTATTAACATTTTTATTTGTTTATAAAAACAGTTCATTTTCGTATTATTATTATTACTAGAGTCTGTGCTACAACGTTGTACACCACTCAAACGTTGTTCACTAAGTATTATATTTTAAGAACCATAGAAAGTTCTCACAATAAACGAAACTATCGGCAAAAAACAATAACGTTTACCATTTAAAACTTAATTTCTTAGCAATTCCCTTTTTAAACAATTTCAAAGAGTAAAAAATGAAATAATTAAATCAGAGATGCTTTAAAACTAAAAAAGTCAAACCTGATAATCCCACATTTTGGTAATTATTTAACCCTATTATTTATCTTCCTTTTATTTACAAAAACAAAATAATTTGTTCAGAAAAGATAAAAAACAAAAAACTGGATGAGTAAACACAATTAAAATAATTAACACTTTACAACACAACAAGACACAATTTTTATTCCAAATAATTTATAAGTTTTTTGAACAACAAAAAAATGCTGAAATATAGCATTAAGTTTAATTAATTATATGTTTGGACGCATCAGAGATTCTGGTGATGCTTCAATTTACAAATTATCAACGTAAGGAAAGAAATTGATTTATTCAAAGCTTTTTTGTAATAATACAGTCGAGAGGTTAGCATTAACAATACTTCGTTTAGTTAAAAACATTAAACAAACAAATAAGAAGATTTCATTTTTTAATAAAATACAACAATAAAAAAAAGAACACAAAAACATTAATAAAACTAAATTATAATTCAAGTGTTCAGCCTTTATTATGATTACTAAAGCCAAGTGTTTTTTAGAGCACTTGGTTATTGTAATTCTGTATTCAAATATTGTTGCCAAAAGGCATTTATGAGCTTTTTAATAAAGCTCACCATGTTTAAAACTTTTTTGAATTTTTTACTTGGTCTTATTACAAAACAAAAGAATCAGAGCTTTTAAATTAAACAACTGATAGTTTTCATTTATAAGTATTTTTATAGTTAAAATATGGTTTCTAATATATTTTTGAACCTTTATTATTTTCTTAATAAAAAATATAACGGAAACAAATAATAATAAAAATGAATAAAACTTGCAGTAAAATAAATTGGAGTTGTTTTTAAAACCGATAAAATATGTTAATGTATCACTTCGATGATAAATAAAATAACTATAACATTATATACAAAGCTATCAATTATACTATAAAAACCCTTGAAATAATACAGACCTATCATTAGGAAAAAAGAGTGAATAACTAAGCCAACATAACAGTTAAAATTTAATCCTTGATTTAAGAGAACTTAAACATTATCTTTGAACTAAAAAATTAAGATGTTTGTTCTTTGTATTAAATTAAATTGGATTGAATTAAATTGAAAATATAAATTAACAAACCAGAGGCGGCTCTGTGCCGCAACGACCCGACAGAACGCTCTCCACATCTCCAACCCAACAAGCCTGAAACCAGCCAACTTTCGCCGACTGAATGGTCTCAACTCGAGATCGTCATTTTGGCATGGTTTCCAGTGTGTTTGTTGGAAACGACAAGAAAAATGAAGATCTTGAAATTAAACGATTTTATTGTTTTTATGTTCGTTTTGATTTGGAAAAAGAAAAACATAATTTGAAAAAGAAAATGTTATTGGTATGTTTATTGGTGTTCTATTTTAAGATTTAAATATTTTGTAGAAGATTTGGCGATTATTTAGAAGATTCTGAGGTGTACAACGTTTGAGAAGTGTACAACGTTGTAGCACAGACTCTAATGATAATTTGTTAAATTATATATTTTATTGATTGAAAGACAAATTTTTATCAAAAACCGATTTCTTTGAGTTTATGAATGATGAAATGTTTTATAAATAATTCAAAAGTTTGAATTTGAGTTGAACTATTTTATCAAACAAGTCAAAAATCGTTTAAAATTGTTCAAGAAAAGTCGCCATTATTTTCATTTTTTTGGAAAAGTGAAATTATTTTTTGAAATTTTTTTCTGAAAAAAAAGAAAAAAATAAAAATTTTTCAGTCCTCGAAGGGTTAAATAATAACATATTATATAAATTTTATATAAAAAATTTAAACTATTGATTATTAGTATTTTTTATTAAATTAATAATAACTGTTTTTTTTAATTATATTTTGAACTTGAATTTATTATTATAAAATAATAAACATAACAATGGGTAAGATAGATGGTTACCACATGATGGTTATCACACAATATTTTTCGTTATTAAAAGATTTCATTTCAATAGAAAGTGTGAGTAAAAAATATCAATGCAATATGGAAAAGTTTCATAGTAACCCCATTCCATTGACTTATAAAACAATAAAATATTTTCCAAACATTGAGACTTTAAATATTTGGTCTAAAAACGACGAATTTTTTGGAAATACTATTTTTGACTTCACCAAAGAAAATTCTCAAAAGAAAATCGACTTTTTTAGAATTAATATTTGGTTTGGAGTTGAATACACTTTTGCTCAACTTCACAGCGACACAAATTTTTCTTTCAAAAATTATATATACACCAAAGAAGACCGAGAAAAGTACGGTGACACAATCCCATATAAAACTAAGGCGCTTGGTGCAAATTATTTAAAAAATTCTCAAATCACAACTTTTGATATTCCAAAAGTAATCACATCAATTGGCACAAATTGTTTCTTTAAATGTACTTCATTGACTTCAGTGACACTTTCTGATGCATTAAAAGAAATTGGAGATAACTGTTTTTCACAATGTCAATCTCTTGTGTCGATTGATATACCACAGTCGGTGTATAAAATAGGTAATAACAGCTTTTCTCATTGCGACAAAATCACTTCCATTAAACTTCCTGAAGGTCTTGTTACTTTGTCAACGGATTTGTTTGGGTTTTGTAACAAATTAGACTCGGTCACATTTCCATCATATTTACTCACAATATGGGATCGTTGTTTTGAATTTTGTATGTCATTAAAATCGATAAAAATAGCACAGTGTGACAATAGTATTGGCGAATGTGCCTTTCTTAGTTGCACAAACTTGACATCTGTATTTATTGGAGGAAATTGTTTTAATCTTGGTGAGAGTTGTTTTATGGGGTGCATTTCACTTGTCTCAATACAATTACCAGACAACATATCGAGATTTGGAATCGAATGTTTCAGTAGGTGTTCATCATTAAGTGGCATTAAACTTCCTTCTAAATTACGAGAAATTACAAAAATGTGTTTTTCCAATTGTTCAAAATTGGAGAATGTTCTTATTCCAGAATTCGTCACTCGTATTGGCATTCGATCGTTTGAATATTGTGTATCATTAAAAACGATATCAGTTCCAAGTCGTTTGAAAGAAATTGAAACGAAGTGTTTTATTGGATGTACCACTCTTGATATATCTCTTTTAAACACTGTTGAAAAAATTGGTGAAAATTGTTTTGAAAATTGTCAATGTATCCCCAAAGAGTCAAAAGAAACAAAACAAAGTGAACTTAAAATTACAAAAGAAAAAGAAACATTGAATAAATGTTCAATATCTTAACATGTTTTGATGTTTATTTTACATTTTTTATTTTTTATATCTTTGTAATAATTTTGTTTTTAAAATTAAAAAAATGGTGTAATGGTATTATTTATTTTTATTATTCTTAAATTACACTTTTAAATTAAATAATCAAATGAACAATCAAATAACAATTTTGAAACAATAGTTATTTTTTACATGTTAAACGAAACAAAATTTGATCACAATAATTGTTTGATTAAAAATTAAAGTGTACTGTTTACAACAATAACAAATAAAAATATTTTAGTTGTTCTTTATATATTGCTGAATATAACAATATTCAATAATATAGAAAACGAATAATTATGGATGTGTAATTTTGGCCATAATAGAAAGGTGTTTAAATATTTGTTATATTAATTGTTATTTTTAGCTATAAATTATTTATTACCATTTATTTGTTATTTTTAGTCAATATGTTTTAATAATTGTTTACAATAATAAATAACACATTTCAATAAAAAACAATGAAATTATTGTTTGTAATAAATCATTGTTTTTTATTTATTTTAAAACAATTTCTGGTGTATTTTTGTCTCGATAACAATGAAAAACAAGAACTAATGTTTACAAAAATTTAAACATTAAATATGATATACACATTTATTACGGATTAATAACGATTTACCATATTTTATAAATATTTTTATTATAAGTTGTGGTTAATTAATATAGTCCATTATTTACTAAACCAATTATTTATTGAATAAAATAATCATTGAAATTAACAAAAAACTAACTGTTATAGCTAACTTTATAAAAAAAATTTTATTTGAATTACTATATACAAGTACAAATACCCATTAAATTGTTAAAAACTTCTCAAACTTTAAAGTATATTAATAATGATAGTATCCCGAACAATTACTATATAAAAATGGGTTAATAAAGAGTGATTTATTACAAATAAACAAATAAAAACCAAAATAATTTCATATGTTATTAATTGTTCAAAACATGATCATAACAAGTAAAACTCTTGTAAAACAAAAAAGAAGTGACATAGACGAACAAGTGTGTTGAACAAGTTCGTTGGAGTTGGCTTACAATCATAATCTGTATTTTTTTGAATTTAAAATATTTTTTTGTGATTTTGACCCATAAATTGAAAACTGTTGGGGTTTATAACTGATTTGTATATTGTGTCAAATTTAAATAAGGTTTTTTCAAAAATAAATATTCAACGAAATAAATTTATTTTCGAAGGTTCATTAAGTCAACTATTATTATTTTTAATGGTTTAAGTTGTTTAATGAGGTTTGCAAATAATTCAATTTAAAATTTAAAGCTGAACTAATAATTATTAACAACAATGGAACCTTCCGAATTGACTCCAAACTTTGAGTATATTAGATATTTTGATGGATATGAAAAAATTATGTACACTTTTATTGTGATACTTCGTGGTGAGTTTGAACTAACTTCAGAAATACCAAATGTAGAAGAATATTTAAAAAAGAAACTTCCTCCTCTTTTCAATGAATTTGATATTACCAGACTCTCTGTTTGCACATTGAAAGGCAAACCATGTTTTGTCAAATCAACACTTCCCCCACTTATCAAAACCGTTCCATTTGATTTACTCGGCGATTACTCGTGCAACCAAAAAGTTGTGACGGTGAAAGCACCTCTCGAATTATTCAAAGAATGGAAGAGTGGTATGCCCTTAGCAATGGTTTTTGTCTCATCATTCAATTCTGTGATTCGTCTTCATATATGTTGTTCCCACAGTCTTTCTGATGGTAGAACAATTGAAGGGCTGTATCGAATTGTTGCACATTTATTAGACGAAAACATACCTCTTCCAATTAACTCCAAACAAGCAGATTTTGGCCAACAAAATTTGTTCCCCAAATTAACAAAGAGTGAAGCAACAACAATACTTCCTTTTGTTCTTGCTTTACCCAAATCCCCACGAATTAATCCACCGGAAGAAAACATTGTTTTTTCTGATATTTCTGATTATCTACAATATTCATACGCAGAGATAAGTGCATTTTGTAAAGTGCACAAGGTGGGAGTGCAGGCAATAATGATGTGTGCTTATCAAAGGGGAATGAGAAAACATTTCAATGTTAAAAACGAAGTTCCTTTAGTTGGACACATTCCTGTAGATTCCCGAACAAGTTTATATGCTTCAGAAGAAATGAAACAAAGAGAACTCTTTTGTGGAAGCGCTGCTTTCTTTCCAACTTTAACATCTAAAGATGATTTTATTGAAGAAATAACTGAGTGTAACAATTCAATAAGAGAAACACAACAAAGTAATGAAAGTGCCATTTTTGTTACTTATTTAGGAAGTCGAGTCAATGCAGATAATGGAAATGATAATACAACCCAATTAGATTTTTCGACTGACATGCCATTTGTTGGGGTGTCAAATATTGGCTGTTATAAATATGTAACAAGACCACGTGTGTGTTGTGTCAGTGAGTCAAAGAAACTTTTAACTACAATCATTTACGGATATAAAGAAGAGTCTATTTTAAATGTCTATTGGAAACGTTCAGAACCGATGCCGCAAAATATGCTTGATACAATCATTGAGCAATTTGATGATATATTCACAAAAATTGGATCAAAAAGAGTTTAAAAAATCAATCGATTATTTAATATTTTTTAATTTTAAAAATTGAATCTTAGAACATCCACAATTAAATAATCGTTGTATTATTTTCAAACATGGTTTTCATATAAAATCCATCAAAATCAAATTAGTGTTACAAGCCTTTTGTTTTTTATCTTTAAAAATCGGGATGTTTTAAATGGTGTTCGATGTTGATCGTTTTACAACTATAATCATTATTTTTGTCAATTTTAATTCTGCTTTATTTTAATTGACAATAATATAAAAATATTTTTAAGAAAACATCTGTATTAAATACAGGTAACTGTTATATGTTATTCTCATTATCACCAATTAATAACCATAAACCTTTTATTAAATTGTTAAAAGGAATAGTAAACAAATCTTAAGCAACAACTTTTTATATCACAAATTGTTGTTTTTGCATTTCAATAATACAACACTAGTTATTTAGTTTTGAGCATTTATTTTTTAAGTGGTTTGAATATTTAAAATTATTTTATTTCACCCTATTTGCTTGTTTTTAAATTATCTGGAATAATAGAAAAAAATCCCAATTAAATTGTAAGTATATATAATATTGGTTCTTGTTTTTAACACACAGTAATTAAAATATAAAAAAAACAAAAACTTTATAGTAAAAAGTGTTTATTTGTGGGGTTTTAAACAGAGAAAAAACGTATATCCCTGGTTTTTCTTGTATCTGTATATTTGTGGGTTTATAATAGAATTGTGAAGTAAATTCTATTCACCATTTTCCATAAAAAACAGTGTTATAGAAAATATAGTAGTTTCTTTAATTATAATAAAATTATATTATTTATCTAAGTGTAACTAAATTGGTCCATTGACATACAAATAGACGTAATCCACAAATATAATAACCCACAAAAAGACACTTTTTACTGTATTTGTATTATTAATCATAATAAAATTATTATAAATTATAGTAAAAACTAAATATCGTTTATAAAAAACACACTTATTACATTCATCACGAAAAACATGAAAATACGATATAGTCATTTTTTCAAAGTTATCAAGTGGGGAAAACGGCTTTAAATTTGTTTAAACTATGGGAATTTAGAAAAAAAAATATTATTGATTGAAAAGTTTTATTATTTTAATCTTTTAAATTTAATTTTATTTTTGTGTAAATTTATTTAATTACAAACAATAAAAACAATGGAAAAGCGAAAAAAATTAAAATTTGGTTTAAATATTTTATTTTGAACTAAAAATTATTATATAAAACCATATAATGACGTTGTTTATTAAATTTCTTGTTGTTGTTTTGACTGGTGGATATCAATGCGACTGCACACAAATCAACTCCAGCATTAAAAATGGATTTATTCCTACGAGTTGTTCAAATTTTCCAAACACATATTCGTACTGTTTTAACAATAATTTCAATTTTGATGATTACTTAAACACTTTTGAAGATGTTTACATTCTTCAAAACATAGAATTTACAAACATTGGCTTTAAATATTGGCAAAATATTAATGCAACCACACTCTTTGAAAACGTCAGTTTAATCATTTCAAGTCCTTTACACTTCAACAAAACTCTAAATATAGAGAATGGTGCTGTCATCAATGTTATTAACAATAAACCATTATTTGGTGTATTTTCTGAAGCGGGATATCTTAATCTTACAAATCCGGAACTGAACAAGCCAAGAATTATATCGTGGAACTCGACCTATATTCACCTCAACAGAAACTATAGAGAAAGACTTGATTTCCAAATATTAAATCCAATAAGTAATACAAAGTGTTTTGATGTGTTTTCCCTCAACAATCAAAGCAATTTGGATGTTGGTACGACAGAGAATCATATTTCTTCTGCTATGTTTGAATATTCATACAATTTTACAGATGGGAAGGGGTATTTGATATCAAATAAAAAGTTGATTCGATTCTGTCCAAATGGTATACAACTTGACACAAATGTCATCTGCACATTGAAGAAAGAAATGTACACCAACGACAGCCCAACAACAATGGAAAGTTATTTCGACTATCCACATTGTCCCTGTAATTCAGACACCACTGTTAACTGCAAGTTAAAGTTTTCAAAAACGTATAACACGTATAATATGTCCGATTTTGATATTTCAAATTCGGAATTGCTTGTTGACAGAGATATTAAAGTAACAAATCTTAAAAGAGTGAAACAACTGACAATAAATAATGACACCAAACTCAATATTTCTGCGCACTTTGACAATACAATATTTTCATTTTCATTTGGAGTGTTGACAAATGGGGTGTATGGAGATAAATATATTACTGATGCATCATTACAATATCACACGTCTTCCAATACATTGGAGTGCATGGGAAACTTCAACTACAGCATTTCTCTCATTAAAGAAATTCAATTTTTCCAAATAGAATGTCCAAGTACTATTGAAGTTCTGAATTTGTATGAAAATACGAGTGTGGTGATTGTAAAAAGCACATCTTTGTATCAAATAAACAAAATACAATTTAGTCAGTATGGCACAAGTTACACAGTGATGGATAATCCATCAAACAATAAAATACTTGAGGGATGTATTCTCATTGAATTAACAAAAGATAAAACAATTTGTTTGTTGTGTGGTGAAAGTTATCAACTTATTGATGGAAAATGTCTTCCTGTTGATGAGAAATGTCAAATTTGGAATTTGAATGGCATTTGTACGTTGTGTGTTTGCGGTTTTGTTTTGAATGAAAATCACATATGTATATCTTCGGATAACTGTTCAATTGGAACTACCACAGAGTGTTACAAATGCCAAAACGGTTATATTCGGAACAACAACAATTGTTATAAAGAAGATAGGTGTGTTTTATCAAACGAATATTTGTGTTTACATTGTAGTGAAGGAAACACAGAAGCAAATTGTGAGGCGTGTGTTGACACAAATTGTCAGCTCTGTGAATCAGAGAAATGTATTTTTTGTGACATGGGATTTGTAATCAACTCTGTTGGAATATGTGAAAGCCAAAACAACGGGTTGACTGTTGGCGTTTCGACTATTTGGTGTAAGAACACTTTTTACATTGAAAATGAAAGTTGTACCAGTTGTTCAAATAAATACGAACACTCTCAATTGTGTGATAAAACACGTGTTGTTTCGTGTCAACCAAATTACAGACAAGACGAAGATGGACTTTGCATAGCAACGATGTGTACAAATAAAACAACGATAGACCAAAACGGACTCTGCCAAACAGATATAAAAAGTTGTGTGTTCATTGTAAACAACAAATGTGTTGAATGCGAAAATACCTTTATTCTTAATGACAACAAAAGTTGTATTAAAACATCACATAATAATAATTCAACAAATTGTATCTCATTTAACAAATATGGGTGCGTTTCTTGTGCAGTCGGGTATTACCTATTAAATGCTGAATGTAATTTATGTTCCGAGAATTGCACCAGTTGTGTAGAGAGTGACACAATGTGTCTTTCATGCAAGTCTGGATTTTATCAAGGTGAGAATTACACGTGTTTGCCAAGCACGGACTTGTTGAGTAAATGCAACAAAATATCTACAATAACAAATGGGTGTTATCAATGCAAAGATGGGTATTACAGAGTTGGTATGAATTGTTATGAGTGTCTTTTGAATTGTTCAGCATGCAACACAAAAGATAAATGTTTGACTTGCAATTTGACAAATTACAAGACACAAAGTGGTAAGTGTTTACCACAGAACAATATTGTTGGGTGTGCTGTCGAAGTCACACAAAATGGGTGTAAAAAGTGTCTAGATGGGTATTACAATGTTAATTACAATGAATGTGAAAAATGTAATGACAACTGCACAACATGCACAAAACACGATAAATGCACATCATGTTTTGAAAATATGGTATTATATGAAAATGGACTCTGCTATGACATTTCATTTGTATCAAATTGTGTTGCTGTCTCAAATTCAAAATGCTCCAGATGCACATTCTGGCACTCGACAAATGATAATGGTACACTTTGTAACAAGAAGGCGGTCTGGTGGGTACTTTTTATTGTAGTGTTGTTTGTAATTATTGTGATGGCAGCTGTGATAACATCAATTGTATTTGTTGTGTATTTTATTGAGAAGAAAATGCGACAAAAGAAGATTAAAAAGACAGCAACACTCTTCAAAATGAGTCGGTCCAACATCACATTTGTATCGCTTGATGATGATGTTGTAGTCAATAAAACAGAAATTTCGTTTGGTGAGGACGTCGATGTTAACGTACAACAACGAGAACTTTTATGTGTTGGCAACACATCAAAGCACAATATGAAAATCCAAATCACAACTAAAAGTGCAACAGTTGAGAAATACATATTTGAGTCAAATCCAAAGATAGTAATGTTGCCAAGTGGCGAGGCGTGTGAGTTTGAGATATTACTGACTTTGAAATGCACAACTAAAATGGATGAGAGTGTTGTGTTGGTTACAAACTCATTCACAAAAAGAAACCCCAATTTAAAAGAAATGAAAATTACAGCAACTTCAAAATTGACAACACGACTCGATCCAGACGAGTTGGTAGAAGACAAGAAACTTGGCGAAGGTTCGTTTGGAATTGTTTTTAAAGGAATGTTCAGAAACAATGTTGTTGCAATTAAAAAGATGAAAATCAACACTGAAGATGATTCTCAAAAAATTGAGTTTGATAAGGAAGTAGAGATGTTGGACAAATTTAGAAGTGAGTATATTGTCCACTTTTATGGCGCAGTCTTTATACCAAACAAGATATGTATGGTCACCGAATTTGCACAATTTGGGAGTTTACAAGACTTGATGAAACACAAAAGAAGTGATGAAGTCAACATGGAGTTACGAGTGAAATATATAAGAGATGCTGCTAAAGGTATTTCATATTTACACACAAATGGGATATTACACAGAGACATCAAACCAGACAACATTTTGATATTTTCACTTGATATAAACGAAAAAGTGAACGCCAAATTGACTGATTTTGGAAGCGCTAGAAATGTCAATATGATGATGACTAACATGACATTCACAAATGGAATTGGTACACCAATTTATATGGCACCTGAAGTGCTTAACAAAGAACACTACAAGAAACCTGCTGATGTTTTTTCATTTGCAATAACTATGTATGAAGTCTTTGGGTGGAATTATGCATATCCAAAAGAAACATTCAAATTTCCATGGAAAATTGCTGAGTTTGTGACATTAGGAAAACGACTTCAAAAAAAAGATAATATACCAGAGAAGTTGTACCAAATAATAGAAAAGTGTTGGAAACAAAATCCGAATGAGAGAATGACTATCATAGATTTGATTGACTTAATTCAAAAAGAATATAATATTTTATAATTAATTAAAATGTTGTTGTTTGTTTAACACTTAATAGTATATAATTGTTTACAAAGTAGGTTGAATGAATATCTTTTGTGTTCATCAAAAAATAATTTTATTGAGTCAGTTCAATTAAGATACCCTCTGGCCCTTCAACACACGACTCATAATATCCGTCTCCTGTTGTTCTTGGTCCGCTAAGAGTTTTATACCCGTTTTCAGAAAGTTGTTTTGTCAATTCGTCGACACGTTCCTTACAATTAAGAGAAAATGCGAGGTGATTTAAACCTGTGTGTATTCCACAGTCAGTAGAAAGATCCGGTTTTGTCATGATTTCAAGTTTTACTTGACTATCAGCAAATGAGAGAAAATAAGTGCTCAATCCCGTTTTAGGATTGTGATATTTCTTGTTTGGTGTTGCATTAAAAAATGTTATAAAAAAGTTCTTTGTATCTTCAAGGTTAGTGGTGTACATAGAAATGTGGTTGATTGCGATGGTCATCGACTATAAATTATTAAAACTATTATTTATAGTTCTGTTTAATTAATAGTAATAATTACTAGTAAGTTTATTATAATTTATGGTAAATATACTATAATTAAATGTATTTTAATTATTAGTACAATGTTTTAAATTTATATTAAAACTATTTGATTATATATATAGTATAAATTATTATAAAAATAGTAAAAATAGAGTTGAAATAAATAGAACTGATTTTTTCCAATAATATGAACTCTTGATTCAGAGATGAATCCGAAGTCAAAGAAACGGTTTAAGAAACCCAAAAGGGGTGGTTTTTCATCAGCAAATATTCCTTTGGTGTCTTTGACACCTGATGAGACGATTGATGATGACTGTTCTCTTGAGTTAGAAGTCGACACAAAAGTGTTTGAAAAAAGTGCTGAGAGAGATGTTATCACCATATCCGATTTGACAGAGAAATTAAGGGTGAGTGATCTTTATAAAAACGCCGAAAATGTGACATTCACACTCCCAGTTTCATCTCTTTTGGTTGAACACTTTTACAATTGTACATGTGGTGGGTATTCACTTCAAATTTGGATACACCCAGGCGTTTATTTGGGACTACCTTTTCCTTACCCAATATCCAACAAAAATAATCAAATTGAGAAGGTGTTTAATATAGATTTGGATATAGAAACATCTAAAATACTTTGGAGGAACAATTACAATATCAACAAAATGTTATTTGTTTGGGATAGATACATAGGAATAACTGTGAATACAAAGCTACATGATTTAGAAGGAAAGTTGGTCAATGTCAATTTAAGTGTAAAAAACGGAACAACAATCGAATTGGAAAATATGGGATTGTTTAATCCAGAAATTGGGAGCAGAGAGAAACTGATTTACATCATAGAAATTGGTGAAAAGGAGAAATGCGACTTCAAGAATGAAAAGGAACTTTTTGAGGATCTCGAGGCAAAGAAAATGGAACAACTGAAAAATCACCCTAAAAAAGTCCACACAACATTTCCATTCAAACTTTTGGTAACAGGGGGCAATTTTCTATTTATGGAAACATTTGTAAAAATAGAGAAAGGCGGTCCGTTGAAGTTTGAACAAGAAATTGAAATATTCAAAAAGAACAAGCGAGAAAAAAGTAAAGAGACAAAAGCGTTTTATATTGTTACATTTGAAGCAGACGAAGCCGAAAAATTTTGTCAGGAGAAAGACACGTTGATTCGAAAAGTCTTTGTTGTACCAAAATTTGTGAAATTTTTCTGTGAACTTCAAATTGACATATTTTGTGGGCAACAAATTAACTTTAAAGGAAGGATAGAAGAAAAACGGTGGTATGTGAAAGGAAAGGGGCTTCCAATACACAATGATGAAAATGGGGGAAATGGTGATCTAATAATAGAATTTGGGGTTGTGCATGACGAGGAACAAATTCCGAAATGTGACCAATTTGTGTTTAAACAGATCAATATATTATACAACACTGCTTGTGTCAATTATCATATTAAGGAAGAATTGATGTTATTTCAAACGCAAGTCATTCCATTGATAAAACGGAATGTTAAAAAGGCTATTAAAATGAAAGAAAAACAAAAGGGTATTAAAAACGAAGAAAAGAAAGAAGACTCAATTGGAAAGATGGAAGAACCCCATTCAACAACAGAAAATAACTTAAAAAGGGGCGAGGAAAAAAGCGAAAATGTTATTGACACACACGAAGAAAAACAATGTAAAATGGGGGTTTCAAATGAAGATGAAAACGATCAAAGGAATAAAGAAAAGAACACTCTTGTTGACTATTCACAACATGAAAAAGATGGGAAAACTACAAACAAAGAAAATCAAAGACACAAAGACGAAAAAGATAATACAAAACAAATTACAACAGTTTTTAAAGAACAAACAGTGGTGACAAATTTAATTGAAAAATTAGAAGATAACCCACATAATTTGGTCGAGAACACAATCCAAACAGAGAAGAAATATAAAGATATATGGGATACAGAAAAACAGAAGAGTGAAAGAAAAATATCAAATTTTGAACATGAAGTAAAAGAATTGAAAATTGTTGAAAGCTCAGAAAAAGGAAAACCCCCAAACGAACATTTGCATATTTTGAAAGAACAGAATGAGAGCACAGAAAAAGTGAAGAACGTTTTAAAAAACTGCAAAAGCGAGGAAACGGGGATTACACATTTGAACCTTTCAAGTATTGTGCAAAAACAGAAGAAAGCCCAGTGGAAAGGTCAAATAACACACGAAGACAAAATACGTGGAAACGTTCAACTTGATGAGAACAATAAATTGAAACAAAAAGACGGGATTGAGGAATTCAAAATGGTGATATTTTTATTTATAATATGCGGGGGTGTTGTTTTTGGTCGTGATACTGTTTGATATGTGGGTAATGCATCGTCAGAATAGTGCTGTATCAGAATATTTATCTCAAAAAATGAATAAAAAGGTCACACAAGAGATCAAAGAAAGAATGTGTAATGAATTTGGATTGGATGAACAATTGAATGGATTGGAGTGTTGGCAATATTTGTGAAAAAGGTTAATAAATAGTATTGTTTTTTACTTTTGTTTATTTGTAAATTTATTTGATATTTTTTAATAACTTTGTTGTCTAAACAATAATTAACACTATATTTAATAAATTTTATGAATAAATAATAAACACTTTAAAGTGAATAAGTACAATTACCATCGGTTGGGATTATTAAATGGTTTGTAAAATTCAATTGGTTTTAATCCATTTTTGATTTGTTCGTTGAAAAACGGACTTTTCTTGGGTGAATCAGATGGAGTTAAATGAATTTCTTGATGTGTAGGTTGTTGATCATTTTTCTTTTGAGATTTTCTTTTTAAATTTTTAAATAAGCTAAACCTGAGACTTCGTTGCTTTGGATGTATTTCTTTTGGAGGCATTGCTTGTGCTTTATCTTTTTCACTTTTTTGTTCAGGAAAATCTTTTACTCCAAATTTAGAAGTTAGTTCCTTAGAATGTTTTTCTTTGGGGAAGTATTTTGTTTGTTGGACTTCAGGGAGTTTAATTAAACTTCCCTTTTCTCCATGGGATATTTTTGAAATGGTGTCTGGCTTG